TCTGTGAATTGGCGCCTATGGTTGAACTCTACCCTCAGACCAGTCCCTGTCAACAACACGACTGCAAACATGGCGTTTGTTTTATGCCATCCGGTAATGTTTGCTCATAATTGCAATCACTGACAATCTCTGACAATACTATAATTACTGTATACTATGTGTGAATAGGTTCGTCGGACTACATCTGCAAATGCAGTGCCGGCTATACGGGAAAGCGCTGTGAAATGATGTCCTCCATGTCGTTCAGAGAGGGCTCTTATCTAGAATTGGATCCCTTGAAGACCATCCCTGACGTGAATTTGACGCTCAAGTTTGTCACCCGAAAGGAGTCGGGAGTTGTGCTGTATTGGGGAGAGAGTCAACACTTGGCCGTAGAGTTGTTTAAGGGAAGAATCCGTATTAGTCTGGATGTCGGCAATTATCCGGTCTCTACAATGTTCTCCTATGAGATGGTAAGCGACGGACGCTATCATCAAATGGAGTTCTTATTGGTCAAGAAGAACATCACAATGAGAGTAGACGGCGGACAACAGCGCACTATCGTTAACGAAGGTTCCAAAGAATACTTGGAGTGCAAGTCGTCGTTATATATCGGAGGAATGCCTGAAAAGGTGGCCAACAATGCCCTCAAGAATTGGCAGATTTGGAATTCTTCGAGTCTCGAAGGTTTGTTTGCGATGTGATTGTTGTGCAAATGCTGTATACAATGTCATTCTATACAATGCTATACAGGATGTATGCGTGAGATATTGATCAACGGAAACCCGCCTGACCTGAACGGTGCCCGCCGTCAGCATTTGGTACAACCGGGTTGTGTAGAGTTCGATGACATCAATAAGCCGTGTCTCAATCATTTGTGCCAAAACGGCAAATGCGTGCCGACTAGTGATCAGCAGACATATGAATGCAAATGCAGGAGTGGATGGAACGGTCCCTTTTGTGATCAGGGTTAGTACACATGGTTGCTTGAACATTGAACATGATCAATTTGTACAATATGTATGTTTCACACACAGCGCCCACCTGTCAGAAAGAAATGAAACGAGACTTCTATTACTCGGACACTTGTCGGTCGACCAAGAAATTAAAATTATCGCAATGTGTGGGCAGTTGTGGTGACAACTGCTGCAAAGCGTTGAAGAGTAAGCGCCGATCGGTGCGCATGGCCTGCACTGACGGATCCAAGTTTACCAAAGAGATTGAAATGGTCCGCAAGTGTGGCTGTAGTGGCAAGTGTTGAGTCACCGATATATACACAAGTATTCACGAGTATTCAAAAGCAATTACAAATGCCATCTAAAAGCTAATACTTACTAATTTGATGCCAAAAGGATTATGACAACTAAATAACTCATTAATAAATTCATTTCAATG